TATTGATCATATTACTCTTACGGAAAGTGTGTTTGTGGATTTTAGATATTCACTGACTTCTAGTATTTCCTTGTGTTATATTATTTTAACTATTACAAATATCTAATTTATCAGATATAAAACAAGAGAAAATAAGAGAAAATAAAATATTTGCCCAAAGTTTAGTTATTAGAGGAAAATTAACTCTTGGGATAACTAAATTTTCAGTGACAGACGTATGAAAAACAATAACCTAGTAAACTATAGGTAATTTTATCTTCATTGCTTCCAAACAACTTTTCAATTTATTGTTTAGCTGGAAAAAATGGTAAAATTAAAAGATGAACATATTCTCAAAGGAAAATACAGACTAAAGCAAAGAAAATATGATCAACAGTACTGCTAGCACTTACCAGATTCTTTGCCAACACCCATCTGGTTTCCAACAGATTCAACTACTTGTCTAGAAGAAAGTGTTTTCAAAGCTAGGTAATCATATCCTGCATTTGTCAACCGATAGCCCTGGACAGCTAGACAAAATCAAAGAGAAAGACCACATTTTAATTACACTGCATCATGAAGTCACATTAGTTCAACTCATGAGAAGAATTTAAAAATAGGAAGTCTTAACTGGAAAAAGATTATCTACCCAGTCTTAGGAGTTTGGCTTTTCTTCCTATAATTTGTGTTTCTTCCCTAGAGCAGTGTGACTCAAAGTAACATGTTAGGGTTGAAAAAAAGAAACTCATCTCCCACCATGGATGGTATGACAGTTCTGATATAACTACTACCTTCTCTGGACATATTTTTAATTCAAATTTGATATATAATCACTGATATTCATATTCTGTCTCTATGTACTTCAAGGGTAAGTGGTTAAAACAGTTACTGATGTGGTGAATGGTAAAATATTGGCATCTAAATATTTGTCCTTAAAAACTACAGACATTCTAGATATTAAGAAAGTATTTCATTAGAAAGCATCACATGTAGGCATTGTGGAAGATTAAAAAATAATGACCCACAGACTGACAACAGTCTAAATATTTACCAATCTGGGACAAGATACAAATGGTAAAATGAAGTGGTTAAGTTCAGGAATTTTTATATCAATTTGACCAAGTTATTTTATGTCAACTCTAATAATAATTGTTTGTACCTACATTTTGTTTATCAGTTTTTTATTTCACTTTTCTAATAATCACTTTTTATTGTTATTTTATAAAAGTATGGATCCATGACAGATGAAAAAAATACTCATCTCCCACCAAAGATGATTTGAAAAGTAATGCTTTAGAGACCTGTGGTGGCAGAGTGCATTTTCCAAACAGTGCAACAACAATATCTGTATCCTACTCGCTCTTCTGCAACTGGAACTTGTAATCCCCTATCAGAGAAAATAAACCAAGGAAGGAAAATTACAATTGGGAGTAAAAGAATAATAACTATTTCTCCACTTTCTCTGATCTGGGTGGGCCCTCTGTGATTGCTCTAACCAACAGAACATGGTGAACGTATTCTCTGCCAGTTCTAGGTCTACTGTTTTCCTGGTCTGGCAACTTCTACTTCTTAACTTTTGGATTGCCTGCTTTGGGGAGGCCAACTGCATGAAAAATCACAAATGGTGCCTCAAATACTTACTTTTAGTATGTTCCCAAGCTATGAGTTTATGTTTTGCTAATTCTCTTAAAACTTTATTACAGCCACCATGTTTAAGGCTGGCTATAGAAGCAATCAAACTGCAGGGAACTATTTCATGGTTCTTCATGCCCATTTCAACCTGAAATTAGAGCAATCATTAAGTAATTATAAATAACACAGAGAAGCAATCAAAACCTTGTTAAGAAATTAACTTCTTCAAAATTTTCTGACTATGCAGTTTCCCAACCAATTCTGAAATATAATTACTACCTTCTCTTGACATATTTTTAATTAGAATTTGATATATAATCACTGATATTCATATTTTGCCTCTTTATGTACTTTGAGGGTAACAACTATAAGTGGTTAAAACAGTTACTGACATATGGTAAATAGTAAAATGTTGACTTCTAAATATTTGTCCTTAAAAACTACAGATATTCTAGATATTAAGAAAGATTTTGATTAGAAAGTATCAAATGTAGGCATTCTGGAGGATTGAAAAATATGTAAAAATACTCTCTACCCCTGGAGAATTTATTATCTAATTGTAGAAATATGAATGTACACATCTAACTCTATTAGAAAGTAAGAAAAGGTAAGTATTAAAAAAGAGGTGGCTCAGGGCAGAACCAGAATACTTCTAGTAGTGGGTCAATTTCCAGGAAGAAGTAGAACTGGAGATTGACCTTGAGTGGTTCAGCAATATAGAAAAAGCAGACAGGGAAATATCAGGGAAAGAAAAAAAGATTTAGAAATGACACCTATGCAAGAAAGTACACAACAGCAGCTTGTATAGTGGGAGCTTAGATGGGATGGCATGCAGAGTTCATGACAAGAAGGCTGGAAAATATTTTTTAGTAAGATATAGAAGCCCTTGAAAAATGAGACCAAGGAGTTTTAGATTTTATAATGAGCAAAGTGGTAAACCCTAGAAGATGTTTAGATGAGGGCATGAGTTTTAAGGACATTATCTAGTAGGAATCTGCCAAGTAGTTTAGAGAAGGCAAAAACTGGAGGTGGTATAATGGAGAACTAAGACTATAATCCAGGCCAGAGGAAATAGAAGCCATAACAGGGAAGAGGCAGTGGGCATAGAAAGATCTTTAGAAGTGGTATGGAAGGGACTGGCATTATATGTTGGAGGGTAAAGGTAACAGAGTTGAAGGGAGGAGTGAGCACAGGTTTTAAAATAAAATTGAAAATAAAAATAATTATTTTAATGGAGTTTGGGAAAGGAGTAAGGGGGCAGATATGATGAATTTGATTTGAGCACAGTGAGTCTGATGTGTCAGGAAGTCCTTCAAATGAGATGTTTAAAGAAAATTGGAAAGGCAGATCTATATTCAGGAATGAAGTCATAATTAGAAGGAAAGGCATGAAGTATACATGATCATTAAGCAAGAAAAGAGGGTTGAGAGACAGAACTTGGGGGGAAGTTCACATTTAAAGGTAAGGTCAACCAGTTAAGTATGATTACTGATATTGGAGGGGCCAGAGAAGTAAAGGGAAGAGGGTCAAGGAAAGCTGGCTACTGATAAGCAAGGCTGATGACACTCCACTGAGAGTGAAATATACATTATGTTTAACAAGTAGGTCATTCCTTGGTGAGCTTCAAAAAAGAAAAAAACAACCTAAATATTGCAGAGATAAATAAGTGTGGCATTGTTTTGATGTACCAACCAAAATCTCATACTTTAACTTGTCTTCCATGCTTAGTTAGGTCTCTCCCAGCCTCAAACTAACATTCTTTCTCTTGAGTCCTCTATTTCTGTTGGAGGCATTAAGGAATGAATGCATGTGCTAATAAGGAAGCAGAGAAAGAAGGTACCTTTCAGAAGTGACAGTAGGTAGAGGAAGCCCTGCTGAACTGAATAATCTATGGGAGGGGAAAGAAAAGTGTCTTCCAAATTTCATATTGATTTTGCACTTTAGTTTAATCCTTAAGAACTGACTAAGCAAAAGATAAAGCTCCTAAATAAATGTTTTATTCTGCAAATGCTTAATCTGTGCTGACCTTTGTGCCATAAGACTAAGACCATAAAACCAGTTTTTGTCACTGCCCTGCTTAAAAATATTCAGTGAGTTTTCTTACTTAGAATATATTCCAAATTCCTTACTAAGCCTGCAAGGCTTTATAGAACATGATCTGGCTCTCACCTTTTCCATTTAATGTCCAAACGTTTGGCGTCTTCACCCATGTGCTCCAGCTACAGTGGCCTGTCTATTCTTCAAAAACTGTTTCTGCCTTGGCGCTTTTGCGCTTAAATATTGCTGCTTCCTCTGCCTCCAACTCTTTCCAAGGACTTCACTGGCCCCTCTTCATTCAGCTATTATACCCCCTCCCCAACCCTCCCAGTTCTTTCTTTTACTTACCAAATATTTACTCAGTACCTACCAAGTGCCAGGAACTTTTTAGAAAGGCCTTAAAACTGGTTAGAACAATAAACAGACGAGATTCTTAGGCTCAGGTAGTCTTCTCTGACTACACACTTAAAGAAAGCCCCACCATATGGGCTCATGACCCAGCCCCCACCATATACAGTTTCTAAACCGCTCATCTCTATCAAATCCCAGCACTTGTTAGCTGATACTATCCTTATTCATTCGTTTCCTTGATGATGATCTGTCTCCCTGTCTTGTACGCCTTTGAATTCCCTAAGATTATTAAAAAACTGACAATCTGGTTGCGGAACCCAATGCTACGATTTCTCTTCAGAAGCCTTAAACCCTTCTCGGCTGGTCGGAAGCCTAGGGTCAGCGTCTCAGTGATGAGTGTGTGGTTGTGGGGTGCTAAAATGGGGCCAGAAAGGAACGAAATGATCATAAGACCGGCTCTGCTCTATTTGGAGATAAAAACTTCCAAACATAGGCGTTTGAAAAATTATACTCTGCGGTCTTTTCGCCATTGCCAACATCCGCCGCGTTGCAGGGACTAGGGAGCACTCAGAGCAGGAAATGTCAAGGACAGAAGAAGATGCACGGTGGGAAACGGCGAACGTCTTACCGCGGTCAGGACCCTGAAGTCATCCCGGCTCATGTAACGCAACTTGGCCACATTCACCTTCCCCATGGCGAGCCGAGAAGCCTCTTCAAAACCAGAGAGCGGAAGGAAAAGCGGCAAGGAGGAATCTCGACAGCGTCTCAGCGGCTGCTCGCGCATGCGGGCCTCCTGGCTACAGGTCCTTAATCAACGGAAGTACTATTCAGAGTGGCATGGAAAAATTAAATGTCTTCTGGGTTTTAGGAAGAGTATAGTGAGGAACGAGAGAGAGTATTTTCTTGTAGAGTGCTTTTGTTATGTGACTAACTTTATGGACTGTAAGTGTTCTCTACAATATGCCATTTTATTTTTCATATCTGTCAGGACCGGGTGCCTAATGGACGCCACCCTCCCCGAGGAGCCCAGTGGTCACTTAATAGGAGGAGCAAATTTTATCTCCAAACAACACTTGTACTTCAGGAAAAGTGAGTTCCAACAAGAGAGGGGGAAGAAGGAACCTGAGCGCGATCGGACAAAATCAGCGCCCTTAAAGGTAAATACTATAGTAATTACACAAGCAGTCCCTTTCTACTGCGCCTGCTCAGGACAGGGCAAGGCGAGGTCAGTGAGAACTCTTCCTGCGCCTGCTGGGTACTTGGTCCTCGAGACCCCAGAGTGCGCCTGCGCATGGCGGGGGTGGGGCTTAAGGGTTTAGTGTGGAGGGTGAGGGCCTCGCTGTTGCGTTTCCCGCGCATTTCCACAGGAAGTGGGCATTTTGATGGTTTTGGAGGGGACCTATGCGGGTTGGATATTCAGGGCCCAGGCACGACTTAAGGGCTTTAAGAGAGACCCACACTGGTCTCTGTACCTCAACAAAAGTAACCAGAGCTCGACAGTAAAGAACCCCAGCAAGGAGGGTGCGTACTATACTATGCTTTCCTTACAACAGCAACAAAGATAAAACGTGTATGATAATGTTCGCGTTTTTATATCTTGTTTCATGAACTTTATCTAAATATTTAAAAGGCAATTATTTTGATACTCCCTTCTTAGGTATGGGTGCTACATATGGTTATTGAGGGTTGTGGTCCACCTCAGCCTTGACTATTTCTAACTTGTGCTCTTTAGCTTCTCTTGGGGTCCAGCCTCAGAACTTTCATTGTAAACTTTGGAGTTCAGTATTCACAGTTCCTTTCTATTTATTTTTTTTCTGAGGTTCCACTGACTGTTGTGCTGATATTCCTCCTCACCAAGGTCCTCTTGTCTATATTGCTGGGTTCAAACACAGAGCTAGTCCTTTTATAAAACATGCACTGGAGTTGAAAGATTGTCAGAATCTCTCCAGTCTTTCTAGCCAGAATAGTTATACTCTGAAGTCATAGGATACAGAAAGCAGAACCCTTTATCCCTTCTACACCACAACCTTTGGCTTTTTCTTTACTTGAATGCAGTAAATCTTTTATTAACCATGTGCAACTAATATAAATCTACATTGAAATGGGATTTTTTTCCTGTACTTCACATAAGACATAGAAATTGAAAGTTTAAAAAAAAATGAAGTATAATTGATATAGCATATTGGTTTCAGGTGTGAAACATAGTGATCCAACAAATATATATATTACAAAGTACTCTCACTATGATAAAACATGATAAGTTTTAAAAGAAACCAAATGACAAACTTATGGAGCAAGAATGGGATGGGAAACAATTAATTTGGGTGTCTCTTCCTAATCCAACACTTTAGCAGACATTGCAAATCTATTATGGCATAATCCTTATGTTCTTAACTCTGATCCAGGCAACTACCACTAATTAGATTTGGCTAGAATTGCTGTCCTGGTTCTAGAGTAGTCCCTGAGGCTAATAAAACTGGGTCCAAATTTCTTATATATTAAATATTAATACATATTTTTAGAAAATCATCTTAGACCTTTGAAGGGTAAAAGTGATTCAAGTACAGTTCTGTATGCTGTTCTATTCTATCATACCATGCTTAGTAATAACTAAAAGAAGGCACAATATTCTTCATTTGATCATTTTCTATTTATCATACATATATGCCAGAATTTTTATTTGGTCCTGGAGAAACTCAATCCCAATCCTTAAGCTCTGTGGTGATGAGAGAGGAATAAAAAAAATTAGAGACTGGTATGACGGAGATATGCAAAGGATAATACATCATTATTTCCTTTTCTTAGACCCTGGCTTGCACTACACATGTGCACATGCACACATACACACAGCTTGTCCTCACAAGATCTTGACTGTCTATAGATGAAAGTTAAAAATTGTTAAAAGTTCAAACTTCTTAGGCTGGCATTCAAAATCTTTAACAATCTGTATTATTTCTTGCTTTCAAGTAGCTTATGCTCTTGCCTGATTTAACTTTTTTCCATGTACAACTTCCTTGAATTCTTGTCTAACTGCCTTTTCTCTTCATCTGTAATGCTCACCTTCTCTCCCCTTTACTTTTTTTTTCTTATCACCATAAATGTACATCCTACTTACCATTCTTTAAATGCAAGGCACCCCATAAAGCCTTTTCTTTGTTATTGCAGTATATCCTAGAGCTGCTGTAATAAATTACCACAGATTTAGTGGCTTAAAACAATAAAAATGTAGTCTTTTACAGTTTGGGACCATACTGCTTCTGGAGGCTCTAAGGGAGAATCTGTTCCTTGCCTCTTCCAGCTTCTGCCAGCATTTGGTGACTGCTGGCATTTCTTGGCTTGTGGTTGCATCACTCCAGTCTCTGCCTCTGTTGTCACATTGCATTCTCCACTTTTGTGTGTGTCTCCATCTGTCTTTATCTTATAAAGATATATGTAATTGCACTTAGGGTCTACCCAGATCCTTAGTCACATCTGCAAAGTCTTTTTATTTTTATTTTTTGCCATAGAAGGTAAATTAATAGTTTCTGGGGATTAGAGCACTGATATCTTTTGGGGAGCTATGATTCAACCTATCATAATCACAAATGGAAGCATACTCTTCCTCCTCTAATCTTCTTTAACCCTTTATCTTTTACTATCTGATTTCTTGTTAACTTCGCCTAATAGCCCATAAATTAGATTAAATATGGAAAAATTTGAACAAGGAGATTGAATAAAAAGTTTAGGGACAATGAAAGGAAAAATATATTTATTTTTAAGATATTATACTAGCTAAAGCTCAGAAAAATTGTGAGAGACTTTACTGCACATGGACTACATTGCCATACATTTGGATATTAAAAGTATCAGTGGTGGGAAAAGACACAGTATGGAATATATGGATGTGTGGAATTTATGGCAAGTACCAAAGAGAGACTCACAATAGGGTTTTAGAACATGGCAGAAGATGCAGTAGAGAATTATATACCTTCTGGGAAATAGCTCTTGGCATGCTGCAGAGCCCTGCAAGAGATGGAGTACCTGCTATTGAGATACCCTGTGACATTGTAGCTCAACTGCCCTTCAAAAACTGATTTCTTTTGGATCAACCATGTTATAAGGTTGGGCAAGCTCAGCAACAATCCATTGTAAGGTAAAAGTGGTACATTCAGGACTGAACACAAGCAGGACCAGAGAGTGCAAGTGAGTTCCTTGAGCAGGTAGCCTGGACTACCATGTCATTCACTGCTGTTGCCAAAGTGTCTCTCCCTCAGCTCTTAGCTCCACAGGTGATCCCTTATGATCAGCTAGTGAAGGAAAAATAAGTTCACATTTGGTTTATGGTTGAGTCAGTTTGATATTGTTGACTATATACCCCCAGTTGGATGGCCTTGAAATAAAAGTGATCAAGGAATATTGTCTCAGTGGGCAGAGCCTTGGGAAGTACATGTAGTCCTCTACTTCGTGTAGTGAGAGAAATATTCAGAAGTTAGAATATGCATGGATTTAAGGGCAAGGATGAATAGGTTGGCTGGTTGGTCAGGGGTCTGGAAAGGAAAAAACTGTTAGGCTGGGGACAAGGAATTCTGAGACAGAGGCATGAGAATGGGTGTAGAAGAGTGGACAAGAAATATGAGGATTTTTGGACTACAAATTTAACATCCACCAGAAAGCACCTAACACAGAAAAGACACTAAACTAAAACCTTGTCTAGTTGATAACAGCCAACCTCTTGTCATTGCAACCTGCCACTTCTGTGAAGGCACAGTTGGTACACAAATGAGTTAGTGATGGTAGCAGAGATGGGAGAGGCTATGCATGGGCTTGATAACATGGGCTTCAAGTTATCAGTGTTAACTGCTGTTCCTGAATACTCCATCTGCCTTCAGAAGGCACCAGTGCTGACTTCCCAGTATGATGCCATCCCTTGAAGAAACTATTCAGTCACTTAGTGTCAAATTGACTACACTGGTTACTTTCTACCATAGCAGGGCCAGAGACAGAGATTTGAATAGACAGTAATAGACATAAATTATGGGCATAGGTTTGCTTTTCCTGTCTGCAGAGCCTCAGCTTGCACCAGTATTAGGAGGTTTACAGAATGTTTGCTCTAACAGCATAGGACTGCACTTTACTTCAAAGGAGATATAACAGTATGCCTATGACCCTGGGATCAGTGCTCGTGTCACGTACCAAACCATTCAGAAGCTGCTGGTATGATAGAATAATGGGAAAGTCTTTGAATGAACAGCCTGTTGAAGGCATTGCTGAAGCATTACTCAGAAAACCTGTGAGTTCAGATTGCTGTCCTCCAAGAGATCAGTAACTTCTATATGGTCCCCAAGAGGTAGAATACATGGGTCCAGGAATCAAGGGTTAGAAATAGTATTGGCTTTACCTACTGACATTCTCATTCGTCCACTTGTGGAATTTCCATCTCAGCATCTCTGGGCTGTGAGAGTTTAGAAGTGTTGGTTTTCAAGGGAAAGAATTTTCACCAGGGGGCACAGCCAGAATTCAGACTACTTGTTTCAAGGAAACATCGCATGAGAGGGCATAGAGACCTTGGGATGAGAATATGGAGTATGCTGCCAGACAAGTCATTGAGATTAGCAAGCATGCCAGCTGAGGGTGAGAGGAATCTAGAATGTTTAGTAAATGAAGATAACGATGGTTTGTAGCCCAAGACTAGCTGCTGCAACGGGGGCTGTTATTTTTCCATTTACCTTCCTCTTCTAAGATTCCCCCAGGAAGAGAGGCTCATGAAAATGCTGAAGAAGCTGCTTCCAGAGTTTAAAGAAGTAGATCCAAACAGCAAATGGTTGGACTGTGAAGGGTACTGTGATGCACCACCCAGCTATCCCGTTTCAGGAATGAAGGGCTTACTCTCCCCAGCTATTGATGGTACTGCCAGCAGAAAATGCTCAGCTGTAAATCTCCATTTGGGTTACATAGGCTGAATGGAGCTTCCTCATGCAAGGTCACACTTCCTTTTTCGATTTTTCTCAGATCCAGTGACTGATTGATATGGACATTTAAAGGCTCAACCTCTTTCTCCAGCTCAGCGTAACTCGGAAGGATCATCCTATCTTCAGAATTTTGTGTAGATTCAACTGAAGCCTCCTTTTGTACTGCATCACAGTTCGACCTTTTTTTTTTTTTTTTTCTTAATCCTGTT